TTATATAAAAGAGCAAATAACATAGATGTTAGTACTAATCCTAAAAGAGAATTACCAAAAGTACCTATAGTCTTGGGTTTTTCATTTAATAATTCTGATTTCTCCTGAGAATCTTCTGTACTAATTAGAATACTAGAAGCCTCTTTTCCATCAGGAGGAACTTCTTGTTCTACTTTAGATAGATCTTGTATAACACTATCTAATACCGGAGACGAGGTATGACATTTAAAATTTTTTAACAATAATTCTGGATCGTAGGCTTTATAATCAATATCATAAAGCGGGCATATAGATTCTTGTTTATAAGAACAAAATGTTTTAAAACTTTTATATGCATTATCTATTTTTTTAAGGTACTCACATAAATCAATACAGTTATCACCACACCCATCTGGAATAGATTTAAGGTAATCAAAATCTACATAGTAATCATACAGAACTTTAGCATTTTCCCAATTACTGTAGAAAAAAAAAATATAACTATAAGGTGTGCATTTATATGATATGTGTTCACCTGTAACATTAGAAGCGTAACTCCACATGACTTCAATTTGTGCGAATACTTCATTACATTTATTTTTATCAATTTTAAGAGTTCCTAATAGCTCCTGAGATACCCAATAGCTAAGAAGCTTACAGTTCTTGTCGTTGTAACCATATTTTTTCCATATATTATTTTGTTTTCTTAAATATGTTATATATTTTGAACAAAGTTTTTTAATTTTGTCAAAATTATCAAATGTACGCGAAAGCCTACTACAGAATATTACATTTGATTTCTCTAAACTCAAAGAATCCTTATCCAGCATATCATAAAATTTAGATGACGGTAAGTCAGTTATTTTAAAAGTCTGAAAAGATAAAATGGATAAAAGGAAAATATAAATATATAGATATTCGCTAATATTATATTTGTTTTATTGCAAATAAATAATATAAGGATATTCATTAATATACATATATATTATAATATTTGTAAATTTGAATGTATCCTCACCTCCGGTTTTGGTTGAGCCATTTTTAAATTTTATAATGTAAGAGATATAAAAAGTTATAAAATAATTAATGTCCCTAGGTAATTATGCATAAAATATCAGTGACTATATATGATATGTGTAAATATTGAATGAGTTAATTTATATATAAACATATATTT